GAGCAGCACTGGACTTTTCACTGGTAACACTTAATGCCAGAAGCAACGGAGTATCGCTAAAGTGAGAACAAAAGAAAAATATGATGACACGCAAGGATTCATAAAGTATACACTGCATATCCTTTCCGAAAACTGGCTACTTGAGAAAATACTCACTATACAATGAAAAATTAGTCAGAATAAAGAATACAGGAAAGCCAGAGACATGTTGAGAACATGGTGAGTGTGGTATACCAAATAATGGCCCCCCAAAGACATAAAGTTCACAAGTGTTCTTATAAAAGGAGGGCAAGGGGGTCAGCATCAGAAAAAGGAGATGAGATGACAGAGCAGAGGTGGAGTGACAAACCCTGAAGGTGGAGGAAGGGGCCACGAGCCAAGGATTGCAGGCGACCTCTAGAAGCTGGAAAAGGCAAGGAAACAGATTCTTCCCCAGAGCCTCCAGAAGGAGTGCAGCCTGTTGACACCTTGATTTTAGCCCCGTAAAACTCATTTCAGACTCCTGACCTCTGTAAGATAATAATTTTGCATTGTTTTAAGCCTCTAAGTTTGTGGTCATTTGTTACAGCTGCAGTCTACAAACATTTATCCTGACTAGCCAAAATCAATTCAAGAAGAGCTAGAAAATCTGAAGAGGCCACAACCTCAGAAGAAATAGAAACCTTTTTCTCTTTTCTTTTTTTCTTATTTTTAAACAAAATATACCACCTGAAAAAAGGCATCGGATGGTCTTCTAGGTGACTGCCTTTAAACTTTCAAGGAACAGATAATTCTTATGCTATTTGAAAAATTATAGAGCATAAAAATAGACAGAAATCTTCAGAGCTGGTTCTACAAGGTTGTGAACGACCTTGATAACCTAAGTTAGACATAGATACCTACATCTATGCTTATAGGTAAGACTCTTTTTTATATGTCTTCACTTAGTACTGAAAAAAATCTGAGAAAATTCAACTTCAATACATGAATTTTAAAAATCTCTTAGCAAGTTAAGAGCCACACAGGAACATAAAAATGACTATTTATCAAACATCATCAGCAAAGTCAATCAATTACTCATCTAGGAGAACTGGAAACTGATTGGACTAGGGGTATGATTAAACTAAAAGGCTCAGTATTTTAATGAGGTGCATTCTTTATGAATAAATCTGCAGATATAATGCAATGTCAATCAAAATCCCAACACTTTCCAAGTCAAGCAGGTTTTTTCACAACCACTGGTAAAGTATTCCTTTCCTTCTCCATCAGTTCCCATGGCCCTTCACATATGTAACATTCTAATGTCAGACAAGGCCTATGGACGAGGTCTATTTTTCCCTTGACCTAGTGGTCTAGTCTTGTGCTGTGTATTGTTTTAAAAACTATTTATCAGCTAACAGAGCTATGTCTCTCCCCATTACTTTCCTTTTTTCAGAAAAAATTTTTTCTTATGTTACCTCTTTATACTCTCAAATGCTTTTAGACTCACTATTAAATTTTAAAAGTATGAAATGTATTGGAGTAGACTGAAACCTGATATATTAATTGAAAAAGACGGGTATTCTTCAAGAACATTCTTCTAACTAATTTAAATCTGTTCTAAAATTAATAAATGTCACATATATTTCATATTAAAATTATTCTTAGGCATTGTTTTGAGGATCTGCCACAGCACAGAAGTTTAGCTTTGATTCTTTTAATCCCAATTGGATGAATATTGGAAAACACCAAAACATAGAGACAGGTCAGTTTCATATGCATGTTGTTCCTTATTAAACGTAGCCTCTAGATGACACTTGAAAGCTACAAGTGTTGTTTTCAGTTCTCTCTGCAAGTGGACAGCTTCAAAGTGTTCCCCAAATCCCCAATTCCATGTTGGTTTTTCCTGCCGTCAAGAGTTGAATCTCTGCACGGAATTTTCTAGCTATTTGCTCCAGCAATCGGAAGAGACGCTCTGGTTCTATTTAAACAATAACTTTCAGGAGCTGAATTGATATTGATACATTATTACTAACTAAAGTCCATACCTTATTCAGAGTTCCTTAGTTCTTACCTAATATCATTTTTCTGTTCCAGGATTCCATCCAAGATACCACCTTACATTTCATTGTCATATCTCCTTTGGCTCCTCTTGGCTGTAACAGTTTTTCAGAATGTCCTTGTTTCTACTGGCCTTGGCAGTCTTGAGGAGTGCTGGTCAGGTATTTTGTAAAATGTCCCTCAGTTGGGATTTGTCTGATGTTTTTCTAATTATTAGACTGGTGAGTTACGGGTTTTCTGGAGGAGGTAAAGTGTCATTTTCATTACATCATATCAAGGGTATGATATTCTGTTGAACAGTGTCCCCTCCCCGCCCCCCCCCCAATTCATCTCTACCCGGAACCTCAGAATGTGATGTTATTTGGAAATAGTCTTTGTACATGTGATGAAGTTAAGGTGAAGTCATATGGATTAGGGTGGGCCCTGATTCAATGACTGGTGTTCTTTTAATTTTATTTATTTATTTATTTTTTCCCCCAAAGCCCCAGTAGTTAGTTGTATGTCATAGCTGCACATCCTTCTAGTTGCTGTATGTGGGACGCGGCCTCGGCATGGCCGGAGAAGTGGTGCATCGGTGCGCGCCCGGGATCCGAACCCCGGCCGCCAACAGCGGAGCGCGCGCTCTTAACCGCTAAGCCACGGGGCCGGCCCAATGACTGGTGTTCTTATGAGAAGACAAAACAGAGACACAGAGGCAGACACACAGGGAGAATGCCATGTGACGGCAGAGGCAGAGATTGAAATTATGCCACCAACCAAGGAATGTCAAGGTTTGCAGGCAACTCCCAGAAGCTGGGAGAGAAGCCTGGAGCAGATTCTTCCTCTGAGCCCGCAAGAGGGAACTAACCCTGCCAACTACTGGATTTCAGACTTCTGGCCTCCAGAGCTGTGAGAGAATAAGCTTCTGTTGTTTTAAACCATCAAGTTTGTGGTAATTTGTTATGGTAGCCCTAGGAAACTAAGTCAGATATATACTATTGGCATGACTTACCACCATTGATGTTAACCTTGATCATCTGGTGGAGATATTGTTTGCCAGGTTTCTCCACTGTAAAGTTACTATATTTCCCCCTTTCCATACTGTCCTCTTTGGAAGGAAGTCATTGTACACAGCCCACTTTTAAGGGGTGGGTGTTGTGCTCCACATCACAAGTGTCTATTTATGGCTATTGTGAAAGAAATTTCTTCTTCCAATGTTTTCATATATGTTATCACCAATATAAAAGACTGACATTATCTGTCGAAGAGCTTGTATGTACCAACTTTATTAAACCCCTTTATTAATTCTATTAGCTTTTTTTTCCAACTTGATTTCTTTGAATTGTCTGGAATTATAAGTGCAAGTAATGCTTTTGTCTCTTCTTTCCCAATGTTTATATATTATTTTTCTGTTTCATGTCTTATTACATTGGTCAGGATTCCAGAAGACTATTAAAGAATAGCAGTGATTGATGATCTAGTGTATGTCCCAGGATTTTTGTCTGGTGGGACCCCCATTTATCTTGGGAAACTCCTCCTCCTCCACTCCCTACATGTAATTCTGGTGGGACTATTGCCAGTCACAGATAGCACCTAACCCTTTTGGTACAGAGCTGAGCACATAGTCCAGGTCCAGCCAAACATAAGACCCTATTTTCCTGGCCAGGGTGATTGTTCTAAAGGTGGGCAAGAAACTGATGCAGGGCCAACCAATTTCTCCGTTGTTTGTTTGTTTGTTTGGAGCTAGAAGAGAAGGAGATAGGTCTTATTTTCCAGCTTACAGGGTGGGAAAGGGAGGAATGAGGATTGTTGTAGGCTCCCCTCCCCTGCCCAGAAAAAGAGAGGTTGTTTGCAGAAAAAGAATGAAACCAAAGACAGAATCAAAAACAGTGGGAGAAGAGGGAGGGGAAGAGAGATGGAGAGAGGAATAATAATGATCTTAAATTTTAAAATTCCTAAATCCCATCTTCCTGGTTATATGAGCCCCAAATTTCCGTTTTCCGTTTTCTTTGCTTAAATTGGGTCACTTACAACAGAAGGAACTTTGACTACTACAGAAATCATCCCGGTCCCGGTAACTAACATTTGTTAGGCAATTATTGTGTACCAGGCTGAGAGCATGTGGTCCATCTGTACAATCTCATTTATTCCTCACAACAACCGGCAATGTGGATATTATTTCGAGTTTACAGATGAGGAAACAGGCTCTAGGAGGCAAGCAAGTTGCCCATGCTCTCCCAGGTAGAACTCGGCAGGTGTCTCTTGAATCCACGTTTGCTGACGCTCACAGCCTCTTGTTCCCAACCGGCGGAAGGATAAATATCCAAGAAGACAAGGGAACATGAACTGTCCTACTTGGAAAATGTGGTCTTATTGCCCTATCCTAGTGGATTCTAAGTTCTTTAATGGAACTTAGTGGTGAGAGAAAAGCAGTATGCAAAATCCAAACCCGGTCTCAAAGCACGTGCTGAGTGCAATCTGTTGAGCGAGTACCATAAAGCCAGGAGGGACGTGTCCGCGATGCAGGCGTGCGCCCAACCCGCGCCCCTGGCTGGCCGCTACCCAGGTCACGGAGCGAGAACGCTAGCTTCTTCCACGCCACACATTTTAGACCCTGAGACCCCCAGAGGAGGCGCAGAGCCGGGTGAGACGCGCAGAGTTCGAGGTTCGGAGGACCCGGCGCCCGCAACGCTTTCCGTCTGTTTCTAGGGCTCTTCCAAACTTTGCTTTTCAAGTCCAGGAGTTCGTGGGCCTTTGCAAGAACTGCGGGCGTCCATAGCGGTGCAGAGGTGCACGGGGCGCGCCCAAGGTCGCAGACTGGCAGGCGGCGCGCTCAGCCGGGTCCGGGACTGCGGGCGGCTCCGGGCGCGCGGCGGG